ACAAACAAGCAGATACGTAACAATGTGTTAATAAGGAAAGTAACAGTAACAAGAAAGAAAATAAAACAAAGAAACAGTAGTAGACTTTAGAAAAATAAGAATTTTAGAGTAAGGGAAAACAAGGTAGAAGAGGTTAAGAAAAACAAGGGTAGAGAAGAAATAAAAGAGACTATGGAAATATTTAAAAGTACGAAAAAGGTAATTAAAAGAATGGATTAGAATCCTTAGGTAATTTCATTATTAAAGCAGCAAAAAGAGTAACATAAGTGGATAGAGAAACAGCAGTATTTATTCGAAGACAACAACATAATTTAAGACAGAGAAACTTGCGCAAATAAGGAGATATTAGTTGAACTTGTAGAAACAGAAGAACCTGTCATATAAGTTGCCGTCAACATAAATACAGTACCAAAACAGTTACTATAGCAGTGTGTGCATGGGGCTCCATATGATAGGACAAGGAGGGGTCTTTGGTGCAAATCAAATATTTTCCTTCTTTGGATTTTCAAAGTAGTTATTGGATGGGAAAAGCAAAGGAATTTGGTAAGTATCCAATTAATCATAAGCCCATTCTTATTATGCATTGCACCATCTACATTTCACCGACTTAGGAATGTAGTCTTGTCTTGATTACAAGATTATGATTGTTTTTTTTGCTATCTTGATGACATCAAAATCTTTGCAGTTAGCTTCAAGGATCACTTAAATCATTTATGTAATGTTTTTCATAGATTTGTATAAAAGGTTTAAAGCTGAAACCATCAAAATTTCAAATCCTTAAAATGAAATCTGACTGGTTAGGTCTAATTGTAACTTCTAATGGTGTAAAACAGGATCCTAATAAATTGGAAGTACATAAAAACTAGGATAAGGACATCAGAAGATTTCTTGAACTTGTAGGTTTCTATTGAACATTTACCGAACAGTCTAGATTCTTAACCAAGATAATTAATAAAGATGTAGATTTGAAATGAGCTAAAAAAGAGTGAGGTAACATTTTAGTAACTAAGATGGTTTTTGACAGAAGAACTTATCCCGAGTTATCAAATGACAGACGATTATATTGAGGTGAAAAATAACGACTTAAAAAAATTACATTGAAGGTCCAATCAGGATTTGTACAACTAATACAAGGATATTTTCAATGCCAACATTTACGTGTTGCTACAGATTATTTGTAGGATTAGAGATTAAAATATTGAAAGTATGGAAAAACAAATTATAATATCCCACACCTCTGTTTTTCTGGAAGAAGGACCTAAAGTCAAAGAGCTGACACCAGGTGCAGTTTGTACAAAGCATGACAAAGAACAAAATTATAATAAGATATATAAAAATTAAAGACACAGGCTGTTTTTAATTAGGTGAAAAGTTGCTCAACACAAGTAAGGTATTAGTTCTTCGTTAAATGTTCATAGTACACAAACAACCGGATAAAGCTTGGAATTTCACAGCTACCAAGTGTTTTAACAAAAGGAGGTGGAGAATGGTTGGATAAAATAAAGCCAGAAACAAGATTTGAAATGAAAGAAAATCTGACTTACTTGAATGTTGCTTTGATCTCTGGACTTAATGACTTGGCCAGGTGGTTAGGGCGCTCGACTCGCAATCTGCGGGTTCGAATCCCCGTCCCACCAAACATGCTCGCCCTTCCAGCCGTTATAATGTGATGGTCAATCCCACTATTCGTTGGTAAAAGAGTAGCCCAAGAGTTGGCGGTGATGACTAGCTGCCCTCCCTCTAGTCTTACACTGCTAAATTAGGGACGGCTAGCGCAGATAGCCCTCGTGTAGCTTTGCGCGAAATTCAAAAACAAACTTAATGACTTAGCAACAGAAAATATGAATTAGCTCCCTCTGTTAGATGAAAACAAAACTGAAGTAATTTAACCAAGTTGTTAGAGTCAGTTAATAACAAATCTTGATCCAGAACTCAATAAGAGAATATATCAGAGACAATATGAAACTGATTTCTTGGCAGACTTTGTACTACCAAGTTTAAGAAAATGCCATTTTAAATGTTTACAATGGGATAACTTAGATGGTTTATAATATTAAGTGGATAACCAGAGGTCTAGTAATTCAATAAGAAGGTGAAAACACAACTATAACAGATGTTGGACAAACTTTACAAGACTGGAACATTTTTAAAGAACACTACTACCCAAATGAACCGAACTACTGAGAAAAGGCCATAAACATATTTCAAAAAATACATAAGATATATGAATAGTAGGTTGGCTGACCAGATTAGATTACCTGGAAAATAATGTACTTTAAACTCAACTACTGCCGATGGATGCTAAGAAAACACTGGTAAAAAATAAAATAAAACTGTGGGAAGCGTCTGAAATAATACAGAAGCAGTACACAACTGTAGTGTTCTTGACATGAATAAACCTTCAGCTAGTTTGTAAGAAATAACATTAATATAATTATTAATGACTCTCAGAATAAAACAGAACTAAGATTACCCTTACAGCAATAAACGGTACTGGTGATTTTTATAATAATTTATTACAAACAATAATTTATTTTACAATTTAAATATGTTTTTCATGGATGTAGCAGGTATCACCTTACCCGCCAGAAAGGGAATACTAACAGAGGCAACCATGCTAATATTAAGACAACAGAAATAATTCTCTATAAAGCACGTGATCCCAAAAAATGACTAACAAAGCAGCCATCCAAAGAAACAATGAGAATACAGGGTTTGATTTTTGGGAAAAACCTAACTAGCTATCACTTAGGCAACGTACTGAAAGAACACACTTGTGAGAATGGATAATTTTTTTTTTGTTATAATGTGCAAACGTTCTACACATTGTGGAAATAATTCTGAAAGCTGTGAGCAACTCTTGGTGCACCTACAAACTTAGAATAGCCTTGTTAAACCATCCACACTAGCATTATCATACAAGGACAATGAAAATATCTAAGCCTGCATTGGCATACACGTTTTAAGGACGAAGCATAGAAACCTATGTTTAGATTAACCAATATGCTATTATATTTCCACAAAGTTCAAAGTAAATTACAATACTCACAACTAGCCAATACAATATGTTTGTGTAACGAAAATGAAAACTTTAAATTTTATAACGGACTAAAATACTGCTTTAAATTCTAAATGTTTATTGTTTTAGAAGAAACAGAGTAAGAGAATATGAATGAATATAAACGACTTTTTATTAAAACTTAATGTTGATTTATTACTTAGTGTGTTCAAGGAAACTGTATTTTATGTCAATGAATATAATGTTTTACTTGTACACTTTTCTTTCTTCGTTCTAACTTTCACCGTAAACATTAGATGAACTTTCGAGTCAAGGCTCACTGATTATAAATGGCTTGTACACAGCCTACCGAGAAAGTATAGCCTTATCCCTGTTACATGACGAACACAGACCTTTAACAAATAATGGCTTACTAGCCGATATACCTGTTCAATGCATGAGAGACATAGGTCAGTAAGATCCAAATGTCAACATATTATGTCACTCCTCACGGTGCCCTAAGAGTACACGCCCGAATTAGTGGTTTGGTTTGAATTTTGTACAAAGCTACACGAGCGCTTCCCGCACTAGCCATCCCTAATTTAAAAGTGATAGACTAGAGGGAAAACAGTTAGTCAAAATTGCCCACCTCCAATTCTTGAGATATTCTTTTACCAACAAATAGTGGGATTTATCATCACATGCAAGCATGTTCTGGGATGGGGATTCAAAGCCATGATCCTCAGATCACAGGTGGAGTACCTTAACCACCAGATTCCATGACAATCAGTCCAGCTGTTTACCAGTCATACCTGGACACACTTTTGTCAAATAATAGTTTACTACCTGGTAAACCAATTTAACCCACATGGAAAACATATGGGACCCCTGGGGGTGACATAGGCGTGGTTAGATAACTTGTGGGGTCCATGACCGTCTTAGAGAGGCCTAGAAAAGTTTTCTTTCTTCACATTTCTGCACGAGTGTTTTTACTTTATGCCTTCTCCAAACAGTTTCATATTTTAAGTGAATTTTGTGAAATAGCAATATGTTAAACATTTTAAAAATTTAATCAACCCCCTATTTGAGAACACACAGGCCTAGTGAGAAGCATGGTGCATGAGACAGCATTTCTGACAAGCTTATATTGATCTTCTCACACCCTGAGTTGTGTTAAGCCTCATCATTGACAAATGTCATAATTTAAAAAGTATAAGGTGGGGTTGGGAGCTCATGGTTGGTGAATAGATGGAAGGGTGGAGGTCAGACCCAACTGATGACTCCCTAGGTCACTCTCCCGAGGCTCTAAGGTTAGATGCCTGGTTTGGTGACAATGGATTCAGCAGTTCATTGGTTATAAGAGGACACACACACACAGACAAATAACAATGATTTATTTAAATACAGCTGCAAAAGTCAAACACTGCTCCTGTCAGTCCATCAGTACTTAGGCATTCAACATCTAAAATATAGTTTAAATCTATCATAAAAACAACACATTTCTGAACAGCTTATTTCCAATTAAACTGAAGTATCAGTATATTGATTTGTAACATGAACAAAGCCTATTGTTATTTAATTATATTTTGATGTGATTTTATCATTCTTTTTTCGCAAAATAACATTAATAAACCACAATCACTTTTACAAACATACTGGGTTACTTAATATCATAATGTGATATCTTCATGTATCATTTCCTTGGAAATATGACATAAATAAAAAACATAACCAACTAAAACAACACACTTTTTTAATAACATAATGGGATATCTTTTATGTTATTCCCTTCCAAAATAATATTATTAAACACAATCAATTTAACTACAATGCTATATTCTTTAATAGCATAATGTTGATAATTTTTCTAGTTTCAAGATGATTTATCTAGATTTTAACATGCTATATATTCAAAACTACACCCTGTATTGCACTAAGAAACTTTACTGAATGTATTTCTATTTCTTGTTAAAAATGAAGAAAAAAACCAACAATATTCTAAAACAGCGGTATCCAACAGATTTATTCATAATTGTGGAGAATGTGTTAACATTTTTGCCACATGACAGAAACAAATAGTAACCATGTTTCTATGGATACAGAGAGGTAGAAACATTCACAATAATGTTTTCAATTATTTATTGAAAGAATTAATGAAAAATCTGACATCTTAAGTATTGTAGGGAATTCATGCATAAAATCAGTTAGACTACATCTACATTCCACCTCCAAATGTTCGTCCTATACTTTGATTTCACCATTTTTACTGCAGGAAAAGTAAGGTTTATCCTCCAAATAAAGAAAAGTAAGGTTTCTCCAGTATTTTATCCTTCAACTAAAGAAAAGTAAGGTTTCTCCAGTATTTTATTCTCCAAATAAAGAAAAGTAAAGTTTATCCAGTATTTTATCCTTCAAATACAGAAAAGTAAGGTTTCTCCAGTATTTTATCCTCCAAATAAAGAAAAGTAAGTTTCTCCAGTATTTTATCCTCCAAATAAAGAAAAGTAAGGTTTCTCCAGTATTTTATCCTCCAAATAAATACAAAAGTTGACACTTTTTTAAACTGGTACATGTATAAATAAATTATATAGAAAAAAGTAGGTGGTAGAAATCAAGCACCAATCTGCCACAGATCAATAGCCGTTTCGCCACATGTGGCGAGTGGCAACCGTGTTGGACACTGCTATTCTGAAAGTAAGTGCCTTTTGTCACAGAACTGCTGCTAGATCAACATTACTACCACAAGTTTTCCTTACATGACAGTAAAACTGAGATTTATTCATCAATGAGATTGCTCTCCTGAAATATTATAGTAAAAACATACAAAAAAAAGAAGAAATAAATACTAGTGCTTGATCTTCAGTACAACAGCCAGTGTTGTATTTTATGATAGGAATTACTGGCACAAATAATAGTGTACATTTGAAAATGTGTAGTAATATAAACAGTTATTAAATAAATAGGGTATGTTTTTTTAATAAGTACAATATTTTTTATAAAAGAAGATACCTACTTACAAAAGTCCATAGATAAGACTCAATATATAATTTATTGGAATCTAGAAATAAAATTTACACAAGCCTTTTTGGTCCACAGCTGCTAACCAAGAAAACATACATACATACATACACATAATTTTAATTTAAACGTATCATTTAAAGAGGTGCGTGTAAGTATCACATAATATTTAGGAATGAAAAACAAATGTTAATAATCCAATGACTTGCAATCTATCCTGGCTGAAACAATAATCTCTCTCTAGATACACAGATGAGTACAGAGGGATGCGAGATTTACATTAAATCAGGAATTTTGTCTCGAATTTCCTTTAAGTTTCATTAAATGAAGCGTATTGTTTTTACACAAACAACGAGTCTGATATTACATCTTAGTATTCTAGAGCTTGGGGAACTCCATCTACAGTAATTTTCTTCACAACTCCATCTTCAGACACAGTCACCGTTTCTACACCATTCTCTGTGACTCTGTGTAAGAATAAGCACAAAATATATACACAAACACTCATACGAAAATGAAGTGTCTCTATGACAAACTACTGGACTATTACACACACACAGCCTTGAAAGCTTGTAGTCCTAGTAAACAGAGATTAAAGTAAAAAGGCTGTGTATTAGCCTAGCAATTAATCTTTCAAATTTAAAGAGAGGATGAAATTAAAAGAATGTCTGTATTTTTTTACTTCATGTAACCATTTCCTCTATTGAATTCCTGCTACATTTTCTCCAAAGAAGGTCAAAGTCGAAAACATTTTACTTTCAAATTATAGTGATTTTCTTATATTTCACCATGGAATTTATTTGACATATTTCTTTAGGACACAAGTTTAATGTTTTGTAAAATGTATGATTCTGTTGATAAGCTCACATGCACTTTGGTGCTGAAAACATATTTACTTTTATCTCAATGGATTATTTTGTAATTTGATCATTCAAGGGTTGTTTTTCTACTGAACACAACAAAAGGTATTGGTATCCCTAAAGGGTTGTTTTTCTAATGAACATAACAAAAGGTATTTATATAAATACCTTTTGTTATGTTCATTAGAAAAACAACCCTTTAGGGATATAAATACCTTTTGTTATGTTCATTAGAAAAACAACCCTTTAGGGATATAAATACCTTTTGTTATGTTCATTAGAAAAACAACCCTTTAGGATATCCCTAAAGGGTTGTTTTTTTAATGAACATAACAAAAGGTATTTATATCCCTAAAGGGTTGTTTTTCTAATGAACATAACAAAAGGTATTGGTATCCCTAAGCTTACTGGCACTTGATGTTACATACAGGCTATAACAACCAAGCCAGAGACATCTGTCAAAGTTTTTAAGCACAGAAAGGACAACCAGTATACAGCTACTCTTAACTGAATAGTAGCACTGATTCACAGTTATACCCACCCTACCTCCGAGTTGAAAGTATGGAGCAAATACTGTGGCCTGAACCTTAGACCTTCCAATCTACAGCTAACCATTAGGTCACACCCAGTACAAATAACGAGAAAGGAGCATAAGAAAGTGTTTCGTGTCAAAAAAACGGAGCACAAGGGTGAATGAAGCAGTGTAGGTCACACCCAGTACAAATAACGAGAAAGGAGCACAAGAAAGTGTTTCGTGTCAAACAAGCGGAGCACAAGGGTGAATGAAGCAGTGTAGGTCACACCCAGTACAAATAACGAGAAAGGAGCACAAGAAAGTGTTTCATGTCAAACAAGCGGAGCACAAGAGTGAATGAAGCAGTGTAGGTCACACCCAGTACAAATAACGAGAAAGGAGCATAAGAAAGTGTTTCGTGTCAAACAAGCGGAGCACAAGGGTGAATGAAGCAGTGTAGGTCACACCCAGTACAAATAACGAGAAAGGAGCATAAGAAAGTGTTTCGTGTCAAAAAAGCGGAGCACAAGGGTGAATGAAGCAGTGTAGGTCACACCCAGTACAAATAACGAGAAAGGAGCATAAGAAAGTGTTTCGTGTCAAAAAAGCGGAGCACAAGGGTGAATGAAGCAGTGTAGGTCACACCCAGTACAAATAACGAGAAAGGAGCATAAGAAAGTGTTTCGTGTCAAAAAAGCGAAGCACAAGGGTGAATGAAGCAGTGTTACAATTCCTTCAAAATACTACACATCCCTAGTGCTTTATAAATTGTGAATGTTCAGTACTAAATATAGGTTTCCCATTGTGCAAAAATAGCTCTTCACAGCACAGGGTACGTCATGATACGAAACTATTTACTATTTAAAACTGATAAGTTAACAAGTCGCTTTGTGACAGCGTGTAAGGGTAAGTCGAGTTTAAGTTTCCATATGACTGAACATGCTAGTTTTCTTTCACTCCGGTATTTGGAAATATACA